ACACTACCAGTTCATGTTAGTCATGTGCCACAGTTAGTGCCAACTACAACATAATAAAACAGGATCAATCATGGGTAGGTACACTGTTAGTTAAAAACACACCTCAAAATTCAAGCAAATAACTACACTGGAGGGAAACCCTGGTACGGCTTTGTCTCATTGGGTCAGAGAGGAATTCATTGTGCCATAACTGGAGAGATTATTACTGTTACGGCAGGCAAAAGATTCGTTTGATAGGATTTATCTATTGTCGCCTCTTTGATGTACCTAATAACTGAAAAATACACATAAATAACAATCAGTCCATAAAAACGATAATTGATACAAATATGACGCTCATTCATATAAAGCATAGATTATCACAGCCAAAAGTATGAGAAATAAAGCAAATAAATGGTTAAATCAGTAACGAAACAAGTCAGTAACATATTGGCAAATCATTTGGATAATAACATAATCATAAATATCATCTATTCTATCACCTACTCTCTCCTTCCTTTGGCATAGCCCACGTGTCAGATATCTCAGCGCCGAATCACTGGCCACGACGCGCAGTGCGCCACGCAAACAAATCAAGGGCCGCGTTCGCCGCGCTATTCCTGGGGAAACCCGCAAGCAAATTGTAATGCGGGAACAGTAAGTGCATGGGATAGACGGACCACTGCTGATGGTGCCACACATGTCGGCGTGTGGTCATCGGAGGTCCATGAGGGCTCGACATAGGTCCTTCATGGGTCGGTATAGGCCCGGTGGGTCCAGTGCAAGCCTATCAGGGGCCGGTGCTGACCCAACAGGGCCCAGTGGAATATAACGTAAGGCTGTCTAGGGACGTTGAGGGCTCATGGGGGCCATATAGGACCAATAGGGACCACATGAGTCAATCAGGGGCCATTTAGGCCAATAAAGGCACTTCAGGGGACTTGAAAAGGTCATTCAAGAGCTGTGGTGGGCCCATGAGGGGACAGCATTGGTTCAGCAGGTGCAGTCAGGGGATGTTGTACGGGTTTCTCAGTGGCCCATTTGGGCATATCAGTGACCAATTTGGACCCAGCAGGGGGCTTTGTATAGACCTATCAGGGGCTGGTGATGGTTCATCAGGGGCCAGCGTTAGTCCATCGGGGCACGGCATATGCCCATCAGAGGTAATTGCGAGCCCACGCTGAACAATGATGGCCCTTCAACGGCCCCTAATGGATCTACATTGACCCATGGGCCATGATGTGTCATGTATGCCCCTATGACAGGCCTACTCAGACCCCTGATGGACATTCCCGGCCTCTGATGACCCTATACTGAATGCTGATGGGGGCTCTAAGTTTCTCCAATAACCCTTCGTCAACCCATTATTACCATACGCTGGCACTAGGGGCCCCACATCAGCCGCAGGGCAGTCCGTGCCATGACAGCATGTCTTTTCGGCCGATATTACATCGGTAATATTTATTAAAATCATGATTTTATGGTGTCATTATATAGCTAACAGTCATAAGAAATATATTTCAACTCGAAAACAGCTCCAAACAGCATATAATTTTAAAGAAACTCCTCCGAAATCCAAAAGCCTATTCGGGTCCATAGAGAATAACTGCGGTCCCCCGCAATTTCGTCACGAGCGTCGGACCAATCAGCGTCGAGTACTGCCGAGCGCTGATTGGTGAATTTTCCGCTAGCGTGTAAGTACTGCTCGCGGAACAAGAGTTCGTCGACAATCCTCCACAAACGTCTGTCACCATTTTTCGTAATGCTAAACAGCCGGAGCGTACCCCCCTGGGCTTCACCACACAATTTGAGCCCTCAAACTTGAACTGGAATCAGGTGAGCTCGAAAATGGGGATCAGGCTGAAAACTGGTATCATAGTGAGACTAGTTTTAGAGCTTGACACCGATAATGGGTACTGACTGAGCTCTGTTTCTGCGATCAATGATACCGATTTAAGGGATCGTATGAGCCCATGTGGCGCTAGCTCAGAAAGTATTCTCGAAATGTGCTGTCTGTTTTGAATATGGTACATTAGCCCGAAAACTGGTCTCTGAGCCCGAAAATCGGGACACTGTTTTCTCAGTGTATGGACACACGGGGCAGAAAGCTTATCCGAGTACCTAGACTTTCTAAACTCGAAACATGAAACGATCAAGTTCACGATGGAGCGATCTGATGCAAATGGATCTCTCCCTTTCCTTGATGTACTGATTACAGTAAAGGACAACGGCACGTACACTACACAACTGTACATTAAGCCCAATGCCGCAAAACTTGTCCTTCACTTTCAATCGGCCCATCCTTTCACGACCAAAAAGGCAGTCTTAACAGGACATGTAAAAAGAGCCATTCGGATAAGTTCCGACATCCCAAGTAGGGACAAGAGCCTAGAGGTGATCACGTCCCTATTTAAGCTGAACGGTTATCCAGCTAAGCTCATCAAAAGTGTCATGCTACGGGAATGCTCTCGTGCAAACAGGGGGGTAGCTAGGGTGCAGAGGGACAAAAGGAAGCGCAGGGGAACAGTTTACGTCAAACTACCATTCATAAATGATGAAGTGGCCTCCAAGGTCCAAAAAGTGCTGAAAACATCAGGGTTTCCGATCCTTGCAGCATGGACAAATCAAAACACACTCAAAAGACAGCTAGTGCGGTCAGCTCTCAAAGACCCACCGTGTCCTTCAGGCAGACAGCACTGCCACGCATGTCAAGCTGGGCTGCGGGGAAAGTGTCACACGAAAAACGTAGTGTACGAATTGAAATGTAGTCTGTGCAACAAAACTTACGTAGGAGAAAGCGGTAGGCCAATACGACTGCGATATAACGAACACTTACGAGATGGCACCAACAAGAAACTAGGCACACCAATGGGTGAACATTTCGCGCACGAGCACCCAGACCTGACCCCAACGGACACGACTCTGATAGCACGCATCGTACGCAAATGTAAGGATGAAGCTGACAGGAGGATTGCTGAATCCATCACCATCCGCGATAGGATGCCAGCTCTTAACGATAACAGCACCTCCTGGCAGCTACTTCCAAAGTAGGGTAGCATTTTCAAGAGCTCACCACGTTAAAAAGTGATTGTGTAGATCGTTTTCATAGATGCTGTATGCGCCCTAACCAGGGCTGCGGAGTCGGAGTCGGAGTCGGAGTCGGAGTCGGTCGGAGTCGACAGTTGTGACCGGAGTCGGAGTCGGAGTCGGAGTCGATTTTAGAAACCCGAGCCGGAGTCGGAGCCGGAGTCACCGAAAATCTGTCGACTCCGCATCCCTGCTAGGTCTGCGGAGTCGGAGTCGGGAGTTGGAGTCGGTCGGAGTCGACAATTCTGCCCGGAGTCGGAGTCGGAGTCGGAGCTGGTTTTTGAAAGCCGGAGTCGGAGTCGGAGTCGGAGTCGCCGAAAATCCATCGACTCCGCAGCCCTGGCCCTAACTTTGTCCAGGGTATGAGTAGTCATAGTATGATAATACGCTCATGTATGCTCATTTACGTATATAATGTTCATTTATGTATAATATGCTCATTTAATTGTTTCGCACAGTGTAAATGTTATATGTGCCCTAACTTTGTCCAGGGTAAGAGTGTAACTTGCTGCCCATTTAATTGATCCGCAAGTATTGTTTCATCTTAAATTCGTAGGTATATGCTTAGGCACACACGCACTTTAATCTTGTGTATAGGTTTTTCCCTGTACATATTATGTTTGACTGCTTTCCCTGTACATATTATGTTTGACTGCTGCGACTTTTAGAAGTACCAACCATAAATCTTTTCCCTGAGGACATATCTACTGTTGTGCATGTGTACTGAACAAAAAGTATTTTGACATCTACAATTGTGGCGCCTGCTGGTATCGGTTGACAAAGATCTGTGATCGAATATACCCGAATTTTTGCTATTTGTCATTTTATTCAGATTACATTGAGGATTCGGTCAATTAAAAATATGCTCATAATCATCAATATGATTTTCCTCACTACGCTAAACTCTCTTAAATGTGAAACATTTTTGTGAGTAATTGTCTCGATTTTGACCATTAAAACGGGTATTGTATTTTTGACGTCATCAAATAGCTCCAAAAAAGAAATGTAATGTTTTCATTCCGTTCAAGGCCGCTGAAGAAACGCGGGATCTTGCGTGGGACATTGTCTTGCCGCGCAGAGTTGTGCCGTGGTTGCGCCTTTTTCATCCGTTTCTTACTTATGTCATATGTGTGCATGAAGCTTTGATTTTGTTCTTGGTTATTGTGTGGCCGGTCAGTCAAACGCCCCTGTAGAAACCGGATGCTGCGTTTGATCGAGATGGAGTCAGACGATGATTGCAGAAAGCTCATAATATTGAAAAGAGGGCCGGTTGCGTGGCATGTCTGTTCAGAGTTGACATTTTGCTTTACTCCAGTTTATGACCTGAGAGCCTGGCTGGAAGTGACGGATCCAAACTTTTCACGTTAAAATGGCTGAGGGTGCAATAATCTCTAGTCTCTACATAGCGGGCTGGTATAGGAGCGTCTTGCTATGCTGCACCATAGCTGGCTAGTGATTCTCTTTTGGCTAGAAATGGGATTAATCATTATCTCCACTGGCGAAAATGGCACTTGACATCACCGAATGCAACGTTCATGTTGTTAGGATACATAAAATCAGGAAGATTACGCGATAGGTAGGCAAACGTGGAATAAAATAGGTGCTGGATGTTTTGGTTTTGGTGCTGAATCAGCAAACAGCAAATACGGAGTTCAACTAGACGATCTGGCAACTTTAGGCTGTGTGGAAGCAATTAGGTGCCAGATTCAGGTATTAGGGTCGAATAAGCATTTTGGGGCTGATCAGCAATTAGGTGCCAGAAACAGCTTTTTAGGGACCAGAAACAAATATTCCCCCTTTTAAAGTTACATCAAACATCAAACATCACATAAATACCTGTGATTGGTTGATACTGGCTTACCGTGGATCCATATACTGTAAATGCTGCTTGCGCATGATCGTTCCGAACAGTGTTTGTCCACAGTCCGCCATTGCTGTCTAAGTTATGCAAACAACACTTGGAGCACGTGGTTTGGGTTGTTGGTAGGTTGGCTTGGGTCATGTTGGGTGTGTATTTTATTAATTAATATTCAAACAAATCGAAATCGGGTTGTGTAGGTTGTGGCTCAGCATTGTTGTGCACTGCTTCACTTTCCTTTTGACTTGGTACAGGTACATTTATCAACCAAGTAGGTACGCCTTGGGTATTTGTATGCCTTTGTTTTGAAAGAAGTGAAGTGAATTTGAATTGTTGAACTCATCAGGCAGTACTTCAAATTACATTGCAAAATGGCACTGTTAAATTTATCAGGCAAGACTTAAAATTATACGACAAATGACACTGTTAAACTCATCAGGCAAGACTTCAATCAAATTACATTGACAAATTTATACCTGCAAAATGTGAATAGTCTCATACCTTTTAATTCACTTGAAAAGGATTATTCCTACGCATACTGCATTGGCTGTAAGCAGCTTACTGATTGGTTGATGATGACATGGCTGTATTCCTCAGCAAGGCACGCATTCCTCTGCAAGGCACTCTACGGAATGCGAAACAGAATATCTTCGTCTAGGACTCTAGGGTGATCATTGGGCCGGAAAAGTTCCTGATTTGTGCTAGTCTCAGCTGATCAGAGTGCTGTTCACGGGCACCTGCGGTAACTGCGGTAGCTGCGGTAGATCGCAGGCTGTAAGTCCCGCCCACTTGTGCGCACGTCATCACGCGTTTGTCTGAGGCGGCCGTGTCAATTTTCCGCCCAAGTTACATGAATGCGCAACTGCCGCGCCACTTTGCATGACAAATGGTTTCTGCGGCCGCTGCGGTCGGATCGTTTCGACCGCAGGAGACGCAGGCGACCGCAGCCGGCCGCAGCCAATATGACGTCACACCACCCGCCCCATCCCTACTTTCTGTGACATCATTACCCGGCTGACCGCCGAGCCGCAGCTACCGCAGGTGCCCGTGAACAGCACTCAGCTCAATCTATGAAACTGCTATTCCAGTTCAAAATCCCATGTTAAAAGTGAACCTTTTCCTTTAAGAAGAATGCATAATGCAATGTATGGCAATGTATAGGTATAACATGTATTGGAGCACTTATTCAGTGCACAGCACAAAGAGGGTGTGCTGTGCTGCAGAGTGGGCATTGGAACTTTGGTGAACCTCTGCAGCTGTACTAGCAGTTTTGTGCCAGTAAATGATAAATCTGTGACCCAATAGCAGTGCTAGGGAAAAAAAATCACCTGAGTACGCTTTTATCCAATCAAAACTAAGCTTTCTTACTTTCATAGCAAAACTTTAAGGCCTTGTTGGTATAGGTTGGTGTGGATTTCCAGCCAGCTCAGTATGGGTTGGTGCAGATTTGTTGCAGTAATGTAAAATCTCGCACATCAATCAATATGCAGCATGCTTTCATGAAGTTCCAGATGACAGATTGACAGAGGAAAAGTGGCATCAGATTTTTATTCAGCTTCTGGTATTAGTCATAAACATTTTTTTAGTTTGACATAGATGAAAGGAGGGTTTGCCACTTATAATGTCAGTTTAAATGATGCACGTGCATACCAAATGTGGGCAGATGATTGAGCAGCTTTCATGTTGTTCTACAGATTACCAAGCCACAATCAGCGGCTGCAGGCACTCTGTGAGCTGGCCAGTCACACTGCAGAGATGCATCACTCGCCAGCGGCCTCGCACATCCAGCAGAACTTTATCCGCCTGAGCGGCCCCCCGGACGGCGGCTGGCGCCAGCGGCCGGGGGGCGGGCCGGCCGGCCGCGGTCGCCGTGGGGCGCCCGGCGGTCACCCGTACCTGCCACGGCGGTCGGCCGACCGGTGGGGTCGGAACCAGCGGGCTGACGACACCTGGGATCGGCCCGGCTCGCTATCCGCGTCACTGAGCGAGTCTGAGACGCCGCCCGGCCGGCCCTGGATACGGCCGGACAGGAGATACAGCCGCGGCGTCGTCGGGTAGGTGGACCGCACCGACGGGGGAATGGAAAAGAGTGAAGGTGCAGGTTATCGGGCTGATGAGTGGGGGCAGTATGCCTGGATGGTGGGTATAAGTGTCCGGGAGGGTAACAGATGCAGGGGGCACATGTATTCACAATGACTAGCACTTCTCGCGATGCCAGAATGGAACAGCATGGTGTGATGGTCTTGTTTACCTAGTTTTTTTTTTCACTGCCGTTTTTTATCCACTGGACGCTTAAAGGGACCCTCCCACCTTCAAAAAAGTTAATGAATTGGCATGAAAGTGATGTCGCTCGGTTCAGAAAGAGCGAAAACAAATATCTACCAAATTTCATTGAAAAATATTCACCGGTTTTCAAGATATTTGACTTTTACTTTTGTTTACTTTTTGGGATCTCCGCTGTTCCTGGCGACTTTATTTGAAAGTGCGGCATTTGTTGCGCGCAAAGCAGCATATACCACCGCGTGCTACAAAACGTTTTAGTCAAACATTTAAAAATCGTTAGATATCTGCGCTGACGTCACACATTCAGAGGGGTATTCCTATACATTAGCCCCTCTGAATCAAAATGCTGCAATTTTGAAATTCAATATTTCCGATTTAAGGCAGATCTCGATGTTGTGAGTGCCGAAACCGGTAATTGTGAGCCAGGGACCCCATTTTGGCTATCTCAACTCAAATCTAATGTTAAGGTGGGAGGGTCCCTTTAAGATAACAAGCATTTTCTTCTTTTTTCACAGGCTACATGAGGAGATCGAGGACTTTTTCCAGCACATATCGCCGACGGTGGACGAGCACCACATGCGAACCACTGTCTTCGAAAACATCAAAAACGTCATACACGACCTCTGGAAGGAGGCACGGGTGTTCATCTTCGGCAGTTTCGAAACCGGTCTCTACCTCCCCACCAGGTCAGTCATGGGTTTTAGCAGCAGTCTTACGAGAATCGTACTTCGTCGTACTTTTGTAGTATACTTACAGAACTTCTTCAGCATTTGGCTCATATGAAATAAGAAAGCATGATGTATAATTATTGTCCACAAATACCAGCCAGGGTGATTACATATATGCCCGGCTCGGCGAACCATTTTTACATTTTTTATAACATGCATGATATTTGGCCAGGCGCTGTTGTGTGTACAATATCTACATTCTACAATCTTACGTATGCACCCTCGCTAGCTCCGTAATATGGCGTAATGTGAGACCTGTAACACGGAATATATAGTCTACGACGGAATACAATTGCATAGTCTGTCGTAGACTATATATTTTCCGGGCCCGTAATATCGCCTCACACCTGCACCCCCTTGTCTCTCGACAGTGACATTGACGTGGTTGTGATCGGCAAATGGCGAGGCTCGCCGCTCGAGATGCTAAAGGACGCCCTCGTCAGCAAGGGGATCTGCAGCCTGGACTCTGTCAAAGTGCTGGACAAGGCAACAGTGAGTACACGACAGTGTAGGGTGGATACGAGAGGCTCGAAGTACTGGATAAGGCAACGGTGAGTACACGACAGTGTTGGGCGGATACGAGAGGCTCAAAGTACTGGATAAGGGACTGCGACGGGAGGCTCAAAGTGCTGGAAAGTGCGGGTAATAAGTGTGATCCGGCAAACTATCGATCTGTATCGCTATTACCGTTACTCAGCAAAGTTCTCGAGCGTGTTGTTTATGTTTCGTTGTTTAACCATGTTAATCCCGTGCTTCGCAGCGAGCAGCATGGCTTCATGCCGAGGCGCTCATGTATGACAAATTTAGCAACTATGCTCCACGAGGCTTGGGACAACATTTCTGACGGGATGCAAACTGACGTGATATATACCGATTACAGCGCCGCATTCCAAAGCGTGAACCACAGCTTACTGTTACACAAGCTGCGATGTTCTTTCAAAGTGACAGATCGGTCGTTTCTCTGGCTTAAGTCTTACTTTACCGATAGGGAGCAGAGAGTGGTTGTCAATGGGAAATGTTCAACGTGGATGTCGGTGCCGTCGGGAACCCCGGAAGGAAGCCTCCTTTCGCCGCTGTTATTTTCATGTTACATCAATGATTTGCCGAATTCTGTCAACACAAATTGCCTCATGTTCGCCGATGATGTAAAACTTTATCACAGGGTTACGTCTCATACCGACTGTGAATTCTTGCAGAGGCAGTTAGATGAGCTATGTTACTGGTCACGGAAGTGGGGCCTAACACTGAATCCTGCTAAATGTAAGATCTTGACTCTTTCTCTGCGACGTCACCCAGTAACATTTGCATATACCATAGGAGGCGCAGCACTTGAAAGAGTCAGTGAAATGCGCGATTTGGGTGTTATCTTGGATGAAAAACTGACGTTTGGCAGCGAGATCGATCGTGTTGTTCGCCAAGCTAATAGAGCATTAGGGCTCCTAATCAGGTCCTTCCAAACAGGAAAGCATGGCAGATCGCTGTATCGTTGTGATTACAGAGCTATCATCCGCACGTATTGTGCCAATGTAAGGCCTATCTTGGAATACGGCAGCGTTATCTGGGGAGGAGCTGCGGCCACCCATCTAAATCGCCTCGAACGTGTACAGACGAAATTTCTTATGTGGCTTTGTGGTCGATGTCGTATTGCCGATGCGCAACTTAACTCTGCTAACCTTTCGAAGCATTTTCATCTGATGTCTCTGGCTGCACGGCGGCAGCAGCACGACCTGATGTTTATCCGGAATATTCACAGAAAGGACATCGATTCGGCTTACCTGCTAAACAGCATGCCTCTATGTATACCACCTCGCTCATTGCGCCAGCGCAACCTGTTCCATGTACCGTACGCGCGGGTGACCACTGTTAAGCAGGGACTATTTTGTCGCATTCCGCGAACGTGCAACACATTTCTTAACGAGCAGCGTGAGGCAGACGTTTGGCACCTGAGTGCCCTGCAGTGGAAGAAACTGGTCGTGGCATATTGTCGAATGCATTGCTGATCCATTTTAGTGTATGTATCTTATTATGTGTATTTTTAACTTATTTTAACTTGTTGTCTGAAATGTGTACCGTAAACCGGGGTGAGTTGATATGGGGTGGTGAGTTGATATAAATTGCTCGAAAAATGTTAAAATGTGTGCTGCTCATCCATTTGTAAACCAATTTTCAATTTTATTTTTCTGTGAAGTGAAGCAACCAATAAGTGATGCATATAGCTGAGGAAGGCATGCATGTGGTGCAGTGCCTTCTTAACACATTACTTTTTTCAAAGTCCTTTTTTTCTTCTGATTTCGAAACTAAGGAAAAGTCCCCACCCTACAGCAAAGACGGTGGATATTCATGGAACAACATGCACTGGGAAAGAAACTACCATCAATTTACTGTTGATCCCAAGTAGTTTTGGGTTTCACCTATAACAACGCTTTTTTATAATTTTAAGAAAAGTGACAGGTGGTGAGTTGATATGCCATCAAGTGGTGAGTTGATATGCATGATAAAAGCTGATACCAGGCTGGTATGCATGCAAATTAGCATGAAATATGGGTCTGCAGGTAAGACAAAGTCAATTACACCAACTCTTCTCCTTTTCTTTCCCCACATCATTCCATCAACCCCCAAAAGCTTTAGTTTTTTTTTTCTGAATGCTTGAGACGAGGTTTGTTAGTATCACTGATGTTAGTTGTCGGACTTTCGTCCCCGTCTTGAGTTGAGATGTTAGTTTCACAACGTTTCAGCCAGTAACTTATCCGGCCGTAGTCTTATCTGCCTCGATAGTGGAGTGGTTAGAACCGTGGACCATCACCGGGGAAACTCGAGTTCGATTCCCGCTGACTACAGGAGCTTTCGAACTGTTAGCCGCGTACGGCGCAACGCCACCATCATCCAGGTCCTTCTGAGGGTCAAAGAACACCTGACGAGTGACGACGGCCGGAGAGTAACTGGCAGAAACGTTGTGAAACTGACATCTCAACTCAAGACGGGGACGAAGGCCCGACAACTAACATCAGTGACCCCAAAGTTTTTTCTGTGGACATACCTAACATGCAAAAGGCACAGCACAACTCCCTGTCAAGTCTCAAGGTGGCTCCCTACAAGCTACAAAGGAACACTATAGAACACCTATATACATACAGATTTTAAAAAGAATTGTTATAATTATTCGTAGTTTCGAAAATGACAGAACTGTCGTTTCTGTATGGCTAACCGGCGCGGGAATTCTGATCTCGTGAAACGGATTAGTTTTCCTGCTTGGCAGTTGCCAACCGAGAATGAGTGACAAAATGAAATGGAACAAACAATATAAAGAAATTGACTGGTGTTTTAGCCCTCGCCCGTATTCGTGTTTTGCCAGCGTTTAACGTATAGGGGGGGGGGGGGGGGGTCCGTTGGAATCCCATCGTCGTTTGGCCCCTGGTGGAGCTAGAGCTTCGCGGAAAAAAATGAGCGTGTTGCCCGAGACGCGAGGAAGCCGATGATAACCAACTTTAAGGTCCTAGGTCATTGGTTAACCTTCCAGGCCAGGTCAATTACCCAGAAGTCGGGAAAATAGGGGGCTATTTTAAGTTCGTAAAGCGAGTTTATTATTTTTTGGCTGTTGCTGATCACGAATGTCATGTTAGTTTTGATCACAGATGTCTTCGTACATTTAGGCCAGGTCAGGTCAGGTCAACCAGTAGGTGTCCTGCCGGCTATCCATAGGGAGTGTCAAGTGTCAACTACCACTGACGGTGTCGTAACATGTTACGAAGGCACTAAAACTACTTCGTAAATGATCAAATTCATGTTAAATTCGAAATCGGCCCGAAACAAAAATACCCTAGAAACATGTAAAACTCCAAAAAGTGAACCGAGGTCACCAAAGGTCAATGACCTGACCTGACCTTCAGGTGACCTTGACAGTTGACACCCACAATACTGCGTGGGACCAACATCATTTACATGTTTGGACGTTACAATCACAAAAAGACTGGAAATGCGCGGATAATGTGAGCCGACTATGCCAAATCGCGATTCCGGCCAAGCATGGTCTCGAGAATCAGGTCACAAGTCAAAAACCATTTGAGTCAGGATCATGAAATTTTTAGAACATGTGTAAAATTGATAAATTCGAGAGGTACTGAAAGTTTCGTCGCGATCGGCCGCTTTTTGTGCGAGTTATGTGCGAAAAGCCGAGGTGGTCCGTTCGCCCGCCTATAAGTGCGAGGGTTAATTTTGGCTTTTGATGCCGAATTCTGTTTTATGTCGCTTATTTCACCTTATAGAATACAGTCCAAATTAGATTCGCTTCACTTCACTTCATTAATATTTTGTTGACTACCAGTCAACAAAAGCTCAGAAGTATATGTATTCTTTCATTTCAATCCATTATCTCTGTCAGAGGCATATCAACCTTGACCCGCAACTGACAATGTGTTTTAACTACAAGAAAATACACTTGCATAGACCCCTTTAAACATGGACTGTGCACTGGCTTAGCCTAATCGACATTTGAGGCAAAATTTTGCCTCCTATGTAAACAATGAATCTAGCATTACATTCGATTCGGTGCTTTGTGTTGCGCTTTAGATAATTCATAATCACAATAGCTTTAAAAGAAACGCAACTAACTCATTCTAAGGGACATGGCCAACGGAGAGGTCAGGGCGAGGGGGGCGACCCCTGCACTTTAATGATCGGGGATCGACTCCCGCATAAAGTTGCGTTTTCCTCGAAACTTGACGCTTAGTTAAACACCCCACCTTTCAAACGAAAACTATTAAATAATGCTGCGAGTAGTTTATTTTGTATTGTGCAAAAATACACATGCATGCCTTCCTATTTACTTCTCTCAGTAGTTTCCCACCCAACTCTGACCCGAAGTCTGAATGTACCTGAGAACCTGAGATCAGGTACCGGAGAACGTAGGCGTTCAAATGTTCACTCATTTCGATCCAGTCAGCTTTCGGATCTTGTCGGAATCCGAGTTTCTTCGACCAGCGCATCCCTGTGCTTGCTTTGGCCTCTTTTCGGCGTGTGCTAGGCTGTTCAGGTCCTTGGCATGATTGGAGACGCAAGCGTTGAACAGCGCCCCCGCCATGGTGGGCAAGATGAGTTTGCTGAGTTTGTGACCAGCCGCGCACTCCAGCTGGGAGCCTTCTTTTTCTTCCATGAGGTTCAGCGAGATATCCTGATAACACTCTCCTGGGGTTTGTGCACCCAAACAAAATGGCGCGGCATTAGCCTCAAATCTCAGAGGCCTGAAGATGGAGCATATGTCCTCAGTGATTTTGAGACAAGTGGCAGATGGCTGGAGCAGCTTTCCCCGGTTCAGCAGGTCTGTGAATGTAGCGGCAGCCTCCTGCTCCTCAGCTCCGCTGACTGCTATTTTCACAGAAATTTTGCGATGGCCATCCGCGAGAAGGTCACGACAAGGGTTGCATTTGTGCTTCTGCACAGCGTGGGCCAAGTAGCCGGCCATGTGAAACACCGCGTCCTTGCCTTCTTCTGGACCT